CTGAGACACGGAATGTTAGCATTGAGAGGAATTCAAAAAATAATACTGTCACAGGATTAAGAAAAGGAATGAGTCATAGACACTACTTAGCCCAAGCTTTCATTTTATATGTGAGGACACTAATGCCACAGCCCTTCTTAATAAGGAGTTGGATTAAATGACCTGCAATATCCCTTCCAACTTTAAGATTCCGTGATTCTGGTGAATTGACTTATGATCATATAGACATCCTTAAAATAATTTTAATAATAATAGCTGTTATTTATATAGTGTGTTAAGGTTTATAAAGTGCTTTACAAATATTATCTCATTTTAACCTCACAACAAACTGAGAGATGGGGGCTATTATTATCCCTATTTTATAAATAATGAAACTGACAGGAAAGTTAAGTGATTTTTCCTAAGGTCACATAGCTAATAAGTGTTTGAGTTGGATTTGAACTCAGGTCTCTCAGACTCTAGGCACAGTATTCTATCTACCACAACATCTAGCTACTACCAATTTTAAAACTGGTTTAAACTGAGTTTTCCTCCAAGTGCCTCATTTTACCTCCAAGATTTATTCTATTGAGCACATACTTCAGTCAATATGTCCTTCAAATTGTGCTTTGCTATCCTCTTCATGTGGGAAGTAGATAGAGGGCTGAGCCCAGAGTTAGGAAGATATCTTCCTGAATTCAAATAAAACTTCAGATACTTAGTAGCTGTGTGATTTTAGGTAAGCCATTTAACCTTATTTGTCTCAGTTTCTTCATCTGTCAAATGATCTGGAGAAGAAAATGACAAACTGCTCTAATATCTTTGCCAAGAAAACCCCAAAGAGTCCAACATGAATGAAACAACTGAACAACTTTTTAAATAGCTAGTTACAGAGACATCAGAGACATAATATACAAATCTAGTATAACATTTTTAAGAAATCAAAGTTTCCTTAAGAGACTGAAGGCATTGACAAGGTTTGATGGCCTTTTAAGATAATTTAATCAATTTGTGTACCTCACTAAAATCCCAGCTAAAAGGGAATTCAATGATGAATTTCTAGAGTTATTATAAATATTACCTTATCTTTCTTTTTCCCCCCTATGTTTCCTTTTTTTTCCATTCTGAGACATTAGACAGGTCAGAGCTCCCTGACACAGACATAATTAGAAACTCTGGGCCTCAATGATAGGGAAATGAAGACAGGATGGAGTAACTAGGTTGTGGGGGAGGGGAATGGGGCAATTCAGTTTGGGAAGGTTTCTTTTTTTTTCTGTTTCTCTTTTAGTTCCAATTTTATAATCAGGATTTTACAAATGGCTTTGAGAAAGATGACTATGAATCCACAGCATAGCTGGGGTTTTGTTCCCACAATGATCATTAAAATACTAGCTCTGGTAAGGGTTAGGCATAGAGAGGTAAGTAAGCACTGAACCGGCTTCTACCCACCACTTTGTCAATGCACATAAATTCTAATTTGTAACACCCCTGCAGTTCCATTGTATGGCTCCATTAGTCTATCCATGAATTATTCACACATGATACATCATAATGGCATCGGAGTCATTTATGATATCAATTCATACTATTATAGAACAGGTAATCTGCAGCTGTCCAACACAACATGTGTTAATTAGAGCTCCCTGGAACTTTGGCAAGTAACTGCCTTTCCAAATCCAACCTATTCTTCAAGGCCCAGCTTAAGTCTTACCACCATGAATCCTTCCCCAACCACCCCAGCCCACACGGATTTCTCTCTCTTCTAACCTTCCATAGATCATATCACATAATTTTAGCCTTTGGTCCTATGCATATTAAAGCTATTATTTCATTGCTCCTTGTGTATAAAAACCCTTAGGAACTCCTCGAGGACTGTGGCCATATCTTCGGTTCCTTTTGTATCTGTCACAATTCTTCATCAGTGCTATGCTCAGTATACATCTCTTCTGGCTTGACTTCTTGGCTACACTGCAAACAGATGTAATCTGAGTACTGTGGGGTTGTATTGCAGACGTGAAGCCAAAGTCCTGGGCAGTTTGGGGTGAGCTGTGAATTCCACAATAGGCAGGAGATTTCAGTACTGTAAACATGCACATGGGAAAGTGTTTTTATTGTCTTCTGCTAGCTTTCTAAAGAAATAAGCTACTTTGAGATTCTGCAGAAAAACTTAAGATTCTATCATGTATTCTACTTTCATTAATAGTGTTTGGGGTAACTAGTAAACCTAGTTGCCTTAATTATTTTTCCTTTTCCTTTTTCAAATAGGTTGGATCAAATTGTGGTATTCATTTCCTTTTCATTTTGAAAAAAAAAACTGTCCCAGGCTAAGTCTATGCAGCCCTCAATTGTTACAACTCTTAATAAATTTAACAATGGCTAACATGTATAGAGAGGTAGCTAGATGGCTCAGTGGAGGGAGCAGTGGACCTAGAGTCAGGAAGATGAGTTCAAATCTAGCCTTAGACATTTACTATGTGACCCTGCACAAGTCTATTAACCTCTGTTGGCCTTGATCCACTGGAGAAGGAAATGATAAACCACTCCAATATATTTGCTAAGAAAACCCCATGAACAGTATTGTCCATTGAGTCATGAAGAGTTGGATACAATCAAACAAGAACAGCAAATATTCAATCAAAGCTTGCAAAGCAATTTACAAATATTTTTTTCATTTTATCTTCACAACAACGCAGAAGACAGGTACTATGATTATTTTACAGATAAAGAAACTAAGGCAGAAAAAGGCTAAATGACTTTCCCAGGATCACATAGCTAATAACTCTCTGAGATTGGATTTAAACTTGATTTCCTGACTCTGGGTACAATGCTTATCCTGTTGTGCTACCTAGCTTGATCGCAGAAATCCAAGTATCATAAACAGGACTGCTCCCTTCTGATGGATCAAATAGGAAACCTGAGGATGAGTTTTCACAGGGCTATCTCCTAAATGTCTGAATGTCAAAGTTCAAGTCAACCTTTGAGTTCTAAATCTAAAATTAGAGCTAATTTTAATTGTGATCCAGTATTTGAATTTCCTAATCTAGGGCAATACTGGCAAAAATTTGGGTAATATAAAAACAAATATATCAATAATTTTTTGAAAAAATAAATAGGGAGACATGAAGAGGGAATGAATTCCAAGCATGAGGGATTAGCAGTGCAGACACCAAGACAGGAAATGGAATCTTATAGGCAAGAAATAATAAGGTCAGTTTGGCTAGACTATATAATATATGAAGGGGAGAATATATGATATGACTGGGAAGGTAGCTTATGAAGGCCTTTAAAACACTTTAACCTACATTCTAATTTGATGTGTTTGATTACAATTGGAAGCACATCTTTTCAACATCTGTACTTTTCTAGTAATCCCATATGGTTATAAATCATGTAACACTATGAACTAGGAAGAATCAAAGTTGTAGATGCCCCAAAATACAAATGTTACACTGCTATATACAAAACAATAAAAGACTTAGTGGAAGGGTGCCAATGAATTTGTAGATGGGGGTGCTTGTGGAAGGATACAAATTAAGATAAGAAGGAATGGGTGGGTTGCCTTCTTATAGGAGGGAGTGTCCACATGAATGAGATTCATCACAGTATTGACACAAGTGATTTAGACTTTATCCTGAGTGAATTCAATTCACTTCTTGAAAACAGGTTTTGATGGAAAGAGGGAGTGCAATTATGAAGTGCTGAGGAGAGAATGCCTTGAAAAAGGACAAAGAATCAGTAGGCAAAACAATCCCTTTCTACTTTTTAATTTTGTTTAGGGCTAGTCTTATTTTGTGCCATTCTGAGAGAGGGACAGGAAGAATGAAGCAAGAGAAGGAAAAAAAAAGAAGCATGAAATTAAAGAGATCTCTCAAAACAACTTGTATACAGACGGAAGGGGTCCCTCACAGAACCAACTGCAGAGACTAAGCTTAAAAGCCTAATGCTTTCTACCATGTTGTTGAAGTAAGTGATCTCAACTTCTCTCTCCCCACCCTTTAAATCCTTTGATTATCTTCCTACAACTCTAAGTACAATTCAGAGAGGAAACTAATTGAGAAGGGATGCCCATTATAGCCAAGGAAGTAAGCAATCATGTACTTACTAAGTGCTTACTATGTGCCAGGCACTGTGCTAGGCATTCGGGCTTCTTCTGAGGTTTGTTTCTAATTGGATTTTAAATTCTGTCTCTTGTGTCTTAAGATGTTTCCTGAGGTAGACAAGAAGAATTTTCAATTCCTGTTCTACATCCTCTCCTCAACCCCCCAACCACAGCAACATCATCCTCAACAACAGCAGCAGTAACAATAACAACTCAGAAGACTTTAATAAATACTGAATTTTTAGAAAGTGTTCTAAATAATAAAAACTGCTATTGTTATAAAAGTCCAGAGGAGAATAGGCATCTGTCCTGTACCATTTAAACACTTGCCAGGTGATCTAGATTAGAGAATTCAAACACTGGATCACAGAATTAGAACTGGAAGCAACCTCAATGATCATTTGGTACAGCCCCCTTATTTTATAGATAAAGCAACTAAGGCCCAGATATTTGCCCAAAGTCACAAAGCTATGAAGTGGCAAAGTTGTGATTCTAGCCCAGGTCCTCTGACTTCCATATCAAGCATTCTTATCACTATAGTATCAATCCTCAACTTTCTCAGGGGTAACATTCCTAGAAAATGGTGCAAAAGCCAAAAACATAAATGCCTTTGGAGAATAACAGTGGTCCTGCAACCATCAAAAACTTCAATCTTTTACTATAGATCACTGAAAATACACTTTCCTGCATAGAATTTTTTATGACAAACCATTGATTCTGATAATAGTCACTTTTCCTAAAATAGTAACCATAAAATGCAGTACACAAAATAAAAGTAGTAACATGAAAAAAGTTATTTTTTCTTACTAGCAATCTCCTAGAAATCTTTGACCTTTTGTGCTAAACATCTCAATCAAAATAATAATAATAACATTGCTTTCAGGCAATATTCATTTTTCGTAACACATGAAATCTACAGTACCATAAATTTGTTGCTGTTTGGTCATTCGGTCTCATCCCACTCTTCATAACCGATCCTGAGGACTGCAATACACCAGGCCCTTCCAACCTGAGAGGCTCAACTTTCAATGCCATATCTTTTAGCATTTTAATACTGTCCATGGTGTTATCTTGGCAAAGTTACTGGAGTGGTTTGCCATTTCCTTCTTTAATGTGTCACCTTTTGTCAGAGCTCTCCACTATGACCTGTCCGTTGGATAACCCTGTACAACATAGCTCATGGTTTCACTGAGCTTACACAAATTCCTCTAACACAACAAGGCAGTGATCCAGCAAGGAAGTACCATAAATACTGTGCAGCAAATAAAATTCTTAAAACTAAAACATTTTTAAAATTTGAATCTTACTTTCTACTGTGTAAGGGCCTCTCACTCCATTTCTAGCTCTCTTTCCATTGTAACCTGATGATTTATTTATCTAGTCTATAGTCAGTCATCTCTTACACCTTTCTGATACACTTGTGGAATTAAAAGACATTATAGAATTACAGAATTTCCAAATTAGGAGGAACCATGGCTCCTGTGGATACATAGGAGGAACCTATGACCAAAAGATGAATATACTCTACAAAACTGTGAACAAGTGATCAGTCATCCAATTCACCAGCTCCTGAGGCAGCTGACTTCATTTCGGGTTAGCACTAATTTACAAAAAGGTTTTCCACCCCAACATTGCTAAAATTTTCTTCTTTTCAATTTTGACCCATTGAACCTCATTTTTTTCATTAAGTATTCAACAGGAAATTTTTTCTGTATTGTCACACAATATTGTCATTGCTTTTCAAATATTTGAATGAAAGTACTATGTCTCCATTAAGCCTATTCTTCTTAAGGATAAATATTCTCATCTTTTACCTGATAAATTAATATAAAAAGCTTTTTATTATTTTGTTGGCCTTCCCCTTAGTGTTTTTTGCTTATCAATGTCCTTCCTAAATTGTGGCATTCAGAATAATGAGCTGATATTTATATCTTGCTTTAAGGTACGTAAAGTGTTTTACATATATTCTCTCATTTGAACCCTATAATCTGGTTAGGTAAGTGCTGTTAATACTCTTTTTTTTTTTAAATGAGAAAACAGAGTCAGAAAGCTTAAATGAACACAATACTTCAAATGTGTTCTAACTGTCATTATTAAGTCTTCATTAGTATGTCTTTTTGTTGCTCAGCAATACATATATTCCTGCAGGCTCTTCTTGTGATTAGTGAGTGCTTCTTATGGAAATGGCCACTTGAGGAAGTACTTAAGATAATTATTTATAAACCAACTTAGCCCCCTACTCTCCAGACAAATTTTCTGCCATGCATCCCAGGTGGATACCTTCCCCTCCTCCCTTTTCAGCTTCCTTTTATGTATTATTTTTTCTCGTTAGAATTTAAGCTCCTTGAAAGCAGGAACTGTTTTCCTTTTGCTTGTATTTGTATTCTCAGCATTTAATACTTTCTGACATATACTAAGTGCTTAATAAATTTTCTAAGTTATAGAATCTTTTGATCCCAGCATTGATTACAATGTTATTGTGGTATGATTTGTAAAGGTTGTATTTAGAATTTCTGCCTTAAAAAAAAACACCAAACATTTACTTATAATTTCTTTGTGTCATAATCTGCTTTTATATTCTGTGATACATACATATTCCTGAGATATATTTATATGATAAGATATATTTATATAATGTTCTTGTTCATAGGGCCACATGAGACTTGCACTCTGCTTTGGAGACATAATTGTAACACGAAACTTGAGTTTTAAAGGCAAACAATGAAAATATGCAACTAATGCACATGGAGCTGTTTACAATGGTAGGGTGAACAAGACCAGTGAAGCGCCTAGTAAGGTACCAGCTGCTCCGCAACCATCTTTTTTTCTCTACTGTGCATAGCTGTGAATGTTCAGGGTTGCCAACATGAAAGTGAAAATGAGATTACTTATTTGAAGTTGTGAAAGTTAAACATGCAAATGTTGAGGATTAACTGTATTTCACTGCCTGTAAAATCCTTGAAATTTTCAAACTTTCTTGAAATTCATTCTGGGTATAAATGTGGCAGGGATGAGAGGTGACCAAGGGAGTACTCAATCAGTTTGATGAATTGCTTCACTATGAACTCCCTCTCCTCCTCCTTTTCCTTATCTCCTATCATTCAGATGTCTTCTCCCACCATCTCTTCCTTCACCCCATCTCAGATGATGGAGCAGCCATCCTTAACATAGCTAACCCTGCTACTGGTTCAAGTGATCCCATTCCATCCTATCTCCTCTTACAGATTGTTCCCTTTATCATCCCCACTCTTTCAATTGTTTTCGATCTTTATCTACTCATTCCCCACTTCCTACAAACATGCCCTTGTCTCTTCAATCTTGAAAAAAAAAAAGCAACCTCACTTGATCTATTCCCACTATCATCCTATATCTTTTCTGCCCTTTGTAGCTAAACTCCTCAAAAAGGTCATCTACAGTTGGCCAAAACTGTTCTTTCCAAAATTATTAATGATCTCTTAGTTGCTAAATCCAGTGACCTTTTCTCAGTCCTCATTCTCCTTAACCTCTCTGCAGCTTTTGACAGCCTCCTAGTCAAAGAATGGAAATTTCCTGGGGTCCTCTGGGGAGCACCAGCCTTAGGAATTGCCTCATGGGTTACCCCAAGTGCACTCTCTAAGGTTGAGAGTTCCGAAACCAGATATTCCAGAGAGGAGAATTTCCTGGTGTAGCATATACCTTGGAGAAAGAAAGGAATCACTCATATAGTTCCCTGAGCAGTGTCCTACTTGGAGAAAAAAGATGCAGATTCTATGGAAAGGACATTGCTTGTTCAACAGCCTCAAGGGTGTGTGCTTTCTAGAGTATAACCAAATCACAGCCTCACATTACAAGTCTGGACTGAGAATTCACCAGAATGTCAAATGGTTGCCCCAGAGGCATCCCTGATTTCAGTTCTATGTCTGTAACTATGTAGAATCTTATTAAAGAAAATTTGGAGAAAGGGAGAGGCGAGTCAAGATGATGTGAATTTGAGAACTTTCTTGAATATAATTTTTTAACTACTTAACCATTACTGAGACCAACATACGTTGAGAAACATTAATCAGGATAATCAAATATATTGTCTATTTTGTTTCACATAAATATTTTGTAAATATATACAGGGAGACATTACTAACTATTCTAAGAATAGCATGAATCTGTGGGGCATGTTGGTTGGTAAGTATCATTTGTCTTGAACACCTTCCTCAGCTCAGTTGGAAACTTCTAAGGTCATTTAACCTAAGTTGTATCCAACCAGCAGACCAAATAAGAAACACACATTTTAAAAGTAAAATGCTTAATTGGGACTAAAACAAGTAGCAAGAGGACTGGAAAATACTCATTTCACACCCTCTAGAGATTAGGGTCTTATGTCTAAGTGAATAGTGGAAGAAAAAAATCTCCTGTAAGGCTCATACCCTGTCTTGAGGTATGGCAAATGTTTCATCTATCTGGACAGATTGCAGAGAAAAAAAAATCTGTTCATATAGTGTCTTTTGTTTTCCATAGATCTAACATAATTCCTGGCCCCCACCTTCTGTTATCCTCTTTGTCTCTGCCTTTATCTCTCTGATTCTGTGTCTGTCTATCTATCTTTGTCTCTAGCTCTGTCTCTCCATTTCTGTCTCTGTGTCATTATTTCTCTCCATCTCTTTCACACTCTCAGCTATTCACAATTCTCAGTAGTCAGAAAGCAAGCATGCCATGTCCAAATTCTCCTTGTGACATCTCCCAGATCTTTCATTCATTCTCAAAACACCTTTATATTGCACTCCAGGCCACACTGTCTCAAGGGACTGAAGTCTTGGGACTTTAGGCATTCCATTCCTGAGACCCAAGCCTGGACCAGTTACTGACTTAAGGTCATTGTTCAAAAGATAATCCTCATTCCCTGTCTTTGTTATTCTTCAAGCCTTAAATTCTATCTAATCTGTGAATATATTTCTGAGCAACCCAGCCACGGTAATTTGCTCTTCCTCTGACCTGTGAACTACTTTTTATTTGTGCAAAAGTGAGACAGTCACCACCCTCAAAGAGCTTACATTCTAATAGATAATAATACTCTCCTGGTTTTGGTGAGGAAAGTGCTTGCAAATGATAAAGCATTATGTAAACATGAGCGATTACTATCCCTCATTTTTTAGTCAATAATTCTCTTCTTCATGTGTTCTGGTATTTTCATGGAATTATTTTTTACCTCTGGCAATTTCTCCATGTATCCTCTTAGCCAACTCTCTCATGTAGTACTCATCTCTTCCATCAAATATTTTCTAAGGAAAAATAAGAAAGAGAAATTATACTGTTTTAAGGTTTTCTAAGTACTTTACATATGCTATCTCCTTTGATCCCCAAAATAACTCTGAGAAATAGATGCTAATATTATGATCCCCATTTCACAGATAAGGAAATAGAGGCTGAAAGAGTTTAACTGAATTATCCAATGAAATACAGCTAGTAAGTGAGGCAGAATTTGAGCTCAGGTCTTTTGAGCTCTCTCCACTGTACTGCTGAGCTGCCTTAAGGATATACCAAAAGTAGCTTCCTGTCCACTACCAACTTCTATTTTCATGTTATAACTTTGTGATCATAGAATGAAAAAAAAACTCACTTTTCAGCGGAGGTGGAGGTGACTTTTTGCTCTGAAATATATAATTTCTCTTTCTTATTTTTACTCTCAAAATATTTGTTGCAGGGGCAGCTAGGTGGCACAGTGGATAGAGCACTGGCCCTGGAGTCAGGAGGACCTGAGTTCAAATCTGGCCTCAGACACGTTATAAATACTTCCTAACTGTGTGACTCTGGGCAAGTCACTTAACCCCAATGCCTCACTAAAAAAAATATACATATACATATATATATATATATATATATATTATATTTATATATATATATATATATTTATATATATATATGTGCATATATATATATGTATGTATATGTATATATTTGTTGGAAGAGATGAGTAATAAATGGGAGAGATGGCTAAAAGGATGCATGGAGACATTGCCAGAGGTATAAAATAGT